GTGCGGGACAACGGCTAAGGCTCAATATACTCGATCGACAATGATTCGTCCGAAATGGCTCGAAATACTCGGAATTGACTCGAATTTCTTTTCATCCTCGAAATAGACCTGAAAATATATCAAAAGCACGGACAAGTACGCCAAGATACAAAATAAAAGAGAAAATATAAAAACACACGAAATGCGACAAAATAGACCGGACGACACTAAAACCAACCTAAAAGCGACTCGATAACACACAAAAACACATAAAAATAAGCACAAAAACATAACAAACATGAGATCGACACTGTACAGAAATCAAGTGAAGCTAATCAAGGGTGGATTGAATGCAATCGAAGATGATGCTTCGCCAAATTTGTGGCACAAAATACTGGCTCACATCAGTGAAGAAAAGATTACAGATATTGGCAAGAAATTCCTCATCCCATTTGCCAAAGATTCAAAATTGAATCCTTGTGATTATTGTCTCTTTGGAAAGCATCATAGAGTGTATTCTGATGTATGTGGACCCTTGGAAGTGGAGAGTCTCGGTGGTAGAAGACATTTCGTGACGTTTATTGATGATGCTTTAAGAAAATTGTTGGTGTATTTCTTGAGAACGAAGGGTGAAGTTTTTCAATACTTCAAAAGGTTTCATGCTATGGTGGAGAGACAAGCTGATAAACTTTTGAAGTGTCTTCGCTCAGATAATGGGAGCGAGTATACTTCCCACGAATTCAAGAATTATTTTGCCGAGCATGGCATCAGGCATGAGAAGACTATACATGGAACCCCACACATAATGGTGTGGCTGAAAGAATCAACAGAACCATTATGGAGAAAGTGAGGTGTATGTTAAGAATGGCTAAGCTACCTAAGTCATTCTGGGGTGAAGCTGTTCTGACGGCGTGTTACATGATCAACCGATCTCCATCTATTTCTTTGGGCTTTGATATCCCTGAAAGAGTATGGTCCGGACATTATGTTGAATACTCTCATCTAAAGGTGTTTGGATGCAAAGCTTTTGCTCACGTAAGCAAGGAACAGAGACGAAAACTTGATGATAAAGTCATTCCTTATATATTTCTGGGCTATGGAGATGAGGAATTTGGCTACAGGTTATGGGATCCAGAAAATCAAAAAGTTATCAGAAGCAGAGATGTAGTGATCCATGACCAAGAAACTATGTCTGATTTTGCTTCACCAGAAAGTAGAGAACCAAGTGGTAAGGTGGATCTTTCACCTATCAAACCTCTTGGAGATGCCACAGCAGGGGGAGAGTGTGATGGAGAACTCAGAGTTGATGATGAGCCATGAATAGAAGATGGTGTTGGTGAAGGTGTCGAGCATGAAGACCTCGAAGCTCCGCCTCAGCTCAGGAGATCAAATCGAGCAATCCAACCATCAACAAGATACCAGTTCCACGTATATTACCATCACTGAAGAAGGGGAGCCATAAAGCTTTGAAGAAGTACCAACTCATAAGGATAAAATCCCAGTAGATGAAAGTTATGCAAGAAGAAATGGATTCACTGGTGAAAAATGAAACTTATGAGCTTGTGACGCTTCCGAAAGGCAGAAAAGCCTTGAAAAATAAATGGGTGTTCAAGCTTAAGAAAGATGGTGACAAGCTGTTGAGGTACAAAGCTCGCTTATCGTGAAAGGATTTGGGCTTCACTCTTCAGTTGGGCTAGGGGCATTGAATTATCTATTTAAAAACATTAAATAGGCGGGCCAGCCCGCGGCCCGCTAGGCTCGCCCCGCCAAAGCCCACGGCCCGCTCCCTAGCGGGCCTCTAATAACTCAGCCCGGCCCACTCTTTTGGCGGGGCGGGGCGGGGCGGCCCGCGGGCCAAAGCCCGTTTTGACAAGTCTAACGTGAAGTAGTGAAAGAACAACAGTTCAAGTTGGAAAAGATTCACACTGACGAAATCCCTGCTGACATGATGAGAAAAGTTGTAACAGGAGGAAAGCTTCAGTTTTGTGTCTAGTTGATCGGCATGGAATGCATGTGAAGATTGACAGAATATTTCCCTTTGGCTGGAGGGGGAGAATTGTCATATTCAGCCAACCATGTGCACAAACAAACAAAATAAAAAATAAAATAAATAAATAAATAAATGAAACGACAGATGTGGTGGCAGACTGAAAAAGGGAAGGGAAGAGCTAGATACAATTTTCTTTTCTTCAGTTCATATGGCCTTTCCTCTATAAATAGGGAGGCATTCAGCAGATCAAAATAAACACCAAAGCGAGAAAGAAAAATTGTAGAAACAACATTCAGTTTTTGGAGTGTTAGATTTTTCAGTGAGAGAAAAATAGAGTGTTTGAGTAAAACTCGTGAGTGTGGGAAAAATACATCGGGTTGGGTATCAACTCTATTACTCCTTGTTTAAGAGTGGGGTTTCACTGAGTCACTGTATTTTACATTTCTAGTATAGGGGAGTGTGAAAAGATATTGTAATTATCTTGAAAATATAGTGGAGTTGTTCGAAGGTTGTCCCGTGGTTTTTTTCTCTACATTGGAGGTTTTTCCACGTTAAATCTTGGTGTCTTATTTTTTACATATTTTATTTATTTAGGATATTCTTAGTATGCTTTGTGGTCGCAGTTTAACTTGATCTTCCACATCAGAAAATAATTATTCTTGTTTTATTGCAAGAGATTTTCTTTTGTCATTTTTGAGTTGTTGGGATTGAGATTATTGTTCACCATTTTACTTTGGTATTTTAATTTATATATTCTGCATTTGTGCATCTGAGTCCAACATTTAACTCCTGAAAAGAAACAACTTAATATTTAATAAATCAATATAGTAGTATAATATATGTGGAAGTTTCTATTAGAAACCATAGGTGAAGGGCATATCGGTTTGATTAGGTTTCGAATTTTGCATTTTTTACTCATAAACATAGGAGAATGCTATAACTGTAATAATTGAGTGAAATTTTTATTCAATGGGACCCACCCATATGTTCTAATTTCACAATTTGGCATCATGCACATGGGTCTCTTCATGCACATGGGTCTCTTGCACTACATCTGAAATGCCCACCGCCCCATTTGACAACTTGGAGAAATAATAATTGCAATTTGAATTGCAAATTGGCCTATTGATCAGATGCTTCTCTACCTATAAATAGGCATATTCAGCAGACGAGAAGACGAACCAAGAACAAGAAAGAAAGAGAGAAGAAAGAAAGAGAAAGGAAAGAAAAGATAGATTTATGTCCAAATATCGGATATAAAAATATCAAAAGAGAAGAAAGAAGTGATATTTTTAATTGTTTTATGATATTCCTTTTATTTATAAGTGCTCAATTCTCGACTCCGTTATAGTTCGCCGGAGCTCGTAAATCTGGTGTGCTACAGATTTAGAGACGTTTGTTGTTGTATCTTTGGGGAAGTTACGCCTGAACCGTTAGCTGTCACACGGGGCGTATTCTTCTTGCGGAAAGAGTTTTACTCGCCTCGGCTATAAAATCTTTCCGTTTTTCAGTTGTAATTTATTTTTCAGTTCAATTGTAATTTTTTATTTTTAGATTATTTGTAAGAACTGAAAATACATATCAGTTCGTAGGATTCCCGTATAATTTTACACCAAATTTTCCAACAATCGCAAGAAGAATATTCAGTCATCCTACTGAACTGATGGCATCCACCGGAGCAGGTTCCAGCTCTCAGCATCCGATCAATCATGTACCTGCTGTCCATGTTCCTACAGCTGAAAAGCCCGAAAAATTCAACGGGCTTGATTTTAAGAGGTGGCAACAAAAGATGCATTTTTACCAGACCACTTTGGGTTTGGTGAAATACCTGAAGGACGACCCTCCGGTCATTTCTAAGAATGAGACTAATGCAGAACTACGCGCTGCGTACGATGCTTGAGGGCAAGGTGACTATCTTTGCCGTAACTATGTCCTGAACGGGCTTAGTAACGAGTTGTACAATGTGTACAGCTCTGTTGGTTCTGCCAAGGAGCTTTGGGCTGCCCTGGAGAAGAAGTACAAGACGGAGGATGCCGGGGCGAAGAAATTCGTCGTCGGCAAATTTCTTGACTTCAAGATGGTTGACACGAAGAACGTCGTGTCACAAGTGCAAGAGTTCCAGCTGATCTTGCACGATATCCATTCTGAAGGGATGACTTTGAGTGAGTCATTCCAAGTAGCGGCTGTGATCGAGAAGCTGCCGCCAGGCTGGAAGGACTTCAAGAACTATCTCAAACACAAGAGAAAGGAGATGAGTCTTGAAGACCTGGTTGTTCGTCTTCGTATTGAGGAGGACAATCGTAATTCGTCGGGCAAAAGCCCGATAATGGAGGCTCGTGCGAACTTGTTGGAGCAAGGAAATTCGAGCAAAAGGAAGCCCCTTAAAAAAGGGAAGCAGCCCGCCAAGGTTTGGAAATTCACTGGATCTTGTTACAACTGTGGAAAGCCAAACCATTGGCGAAAGATTGCAAGAGGCCAAAGAAAGCTGGGCCAAATAAAAGGCAACCGAGTGCCCTTGTTGCTGAACACGGCCCTGTGCCGGGTAAACTGACCGACTTTGATATGTCGGTTGTGGTGTTTGAAGCCAATTTGGTGGATAACCCAAGGGAGTGGTACATTGATACTGGTGCCACTCGTCATGTGTGTTCCGACATGGAGGTGTTCTCTGAATACACTCCTGCTGCGGGTCAGAAACTTCACATGGGAAACTCCTCCACGTCTGATGTGGCTGGAGTGGGCACGGTGGTGCTAAATCTCACTTCTGGAAGGGAGTTGAAGCTGAAGGATGTTCTGCATGTCCCAGACATCCGCAAGAATTTGGTCTCGGGATCACTTCTTGTTGAGCATGGATTTAGGCTGGTATTTGAAGATAAGAAGTTTATTCTTAGCAAATATGAAAAATTCCTTGGTCGTG